CTCACCTGGCAGCCTCCCCAGGGCTTTGCAGCTCTCATGGCTGCAGTTGCCCTCTTGGTCTCTGATGCCTTGCCTCCTGCTTGCTCTCTCTGATTCCTTTCTCTCCCTTTTGCAGTTTCTGCCCTGCAGAGCTGCCCTCAGAATCTTCCTAAAGCCCAAATGGACTCTGCCACTCACCAGGCCACTTACCAACCAATTGTCCTTGGTTCCCCCTGGCCTCTAGTCTGAACTACAGTGTCCCCTTTTGGATTTCAGACCTTTTGTTGTTAGTTCCTCTGAGGCATTCTGTGCTCTAGCCTGCTGGCTGTACCTAGAACTTTAGCTTCTTTCAAGGCTCAGTTCATGTGACGTTTCCTCCAGGAAGCTTTCCTGTCTTTCTCTCTTCTTAAATGACATAGCTGGGTGTGTGTTTTATTATCCTAAACGAATGTAGGTGCCTGGGAGACAGAGATGGTTTTTGTCTTGTCTCTGTGTCCCCAGGGCCTGGCATAGCACCTGGCAAAAGGCAAGGGCTTCATCAAGGTTGGGTAAGCTGTGCCTTGCCAGCCGGGCCTAGCTGATGCAAGTGTGGGTGTGGTGAGGAGACTTGGAAGCCTCATCTCCTGATGGCCACAGGCCTGAGTTACTCAGGCTGTTTCATGTGGGAACAAAGCAAGACCAGGCATCTTTTTCTTTTAAATTCACCTCAATGTCTAGATGAGTGTAGGTGCTCTGAAAGTATTTGTCTCCTGGAGAGCAGCCTGTCCTCTCGCCTTGGACAGGAGGTGATGACCTGTTTTTCCTCAGAGAAGGAGCTCTCCAGTCTCTTGGCTGACAGGCCCTAATGCTTAGTGCACGTTTTGGAGCCCCTTGAAGAGTCACTAAGCCCAGCAGGCGTCTGAGGTAGGTTGGATAAGTAGTATCACCCTCATTTTACCAACAAGGATACTGAGGCTCAGGGAGATGAAGTGGCTTGTCTTCCATGGTCACACAGCTGGGTAGGTATGGGAGGGCAGGAGGTCAGAGCTGGGGCTCCTGACACCGAGTCAGTCTCATTCTGCTCTCCCAAGCTTGTAAGTGTTTATCTGCTTTGGGCACGTTCAACTTGAGCTCAGGGCTGCGTTGGTACAGGCGACATTCTTTCAGTCTCTCCTGCCATTCCCTTCCACGGTGTGTGAAGCTGTCCTCAGTGGAATTTAGGGCCCTTTGTTGGAGCTTTAAGATTTCAAGGTAGCATTTGGCCTTTGGAGCTCCACGGGGAGAGGTGATCACCTTGCTTCATAAGGGCGTCTTGTCTGGCTGTACCAATACTTAGATGGTCCATCGTTAGCATATGAATTTGTTTCTGTTTTCCAACCCCATCATCTCCATGTCATCCAAAGCACATGCTTGCTTTTCATCTAAATGCAGTAGAGGCCTCCCGATACTGAGGACTTGCCCCAGTGATCTCAGTGATGATGGGGGTGGTCCACGCCATTCATGGCTTCTCAGCAGGAGTGACTGACCTTTGTCCTTCCACCAGTTTGCCTCAGAGAGGCCACCTAAAGTGCCAAGGATTTTCCTTAATTTCTGGGCATCAAAAGGATTTCTCTTCACTGTGGCACATTGAAATTTTCTAACCATGGCCTGGCTTGCCTCGTGAATATTTCTGACCCTGTGAGTATTCAAGCAGAGGCTGGATGACTGTTGGCCACATTGCAGAAGGGATTATTGTTTTGTAAGTCTGTGAGTACAAAAGAGATAAGATGCTCTTTTTAAGTACCTAGTGTAACATCTACTGGACAAAGATCTATATGATGCTTCTGTGATGTTTCTAGCATGGTGTATCTGCCAGGTACTGTGCTGGCTTAGATAGGTGTTTCACAACAAAACCAAAACCAAAGACCTCTAGCGTCTGCGTTCTGGGCCTTGGGCTCTCAAGCTTGTATTTTCTTCAGTGATTTTATTATTTGATTTTACTGAAAGGTCTATGGGATCTTGTGCTTTGGCAGGAAGAGCCCCACACTGGCGGCCATGCCCCAGCATCTCAGCATCCTGGCTCTGCGGCCTTGGGGGAGTCATATCATCAGCGTCTGTGCCCGAGGTGCCTCATTTGGAAAATAGGCATGATCACACCCCCTTTGCCTATTTCCCAGGATTTTTGTGAGGGTCACATAAGAGATAGGGATAAGGACTGGATCTGATTGGTGATTTCATTGGCATTGGTGCTTTCTGGAAAAGAAACTCACTCTCCCAGTGTGGGTTGGCCCCTTCCCTTCAACTTAGAGATTGCCCAGAGTGTGGAAAGGTGAAGTCCTATGTGTAAGGTGGGGCTCAAACTCAACTTGTTGGGTGATGCCGCATGACCCCTCTGGGAGGTAAGGAGGTGTGCTTTGCGCTTCTGGCGCAGGACAGGGGCCAGGCTCACCAGCTGTGATGAATGCTCACTTGAATACCTGTCCAATTTGCTAACTGTCTCATTTTAACTTTTCCTTTGACTTCATTCCCTTTTGGATCTGAAGCTGTCAAGCGATGATGCTGTGAAAAGAGTTCTTGCTGGAGAGAAGGGGGATTCAAAGGGAAAATCTCCACTCACCTTGAAAGCCCAAGAGCTGGATAATAAGGACTTTAAGGAAGAAGAACCACGGATTCATAAAGAGAAAGAGGTAAATGGGAACCTTGAAATGTTCCAAAGAACTTGACAGGCTTTGGAGACATGGGTAAAAGAATTTCACACTTAGACTTTGTTAACATTTATTTATTTATTTACTTGTTTAGGATAGAAGGAACTCTGCAATCAAAGACAGAAGCACAAGCCGAGAACGCAAACAAAGAGAAGAGTCTAAAGATGAAGAAAGCAAGCAAAGAGAAAAGGACAGAGACAGAGAACGAGAGAAGAGCAAAGACAATGACCGGGAGAGGCACAAAGATCCCGACCGGGACAAAGTGAGAGACGGGGAGAGAGACAGAAATAAGAACAGAGCCAAGCAGGAACGAGAGAGAGAGAAAAGCAGAGACAAAGACAGAGGCAACAAAGACCGAGAGTTAGAACGAGACAAGGGCAAGGACAGGAAGAATGATGGAGTGAAAGAAAAGGAGCGCTTGAAAGAAAGGGACAGAGAGAGAGAAAGAGATCGAGACAAGGGGAAAGAAAAGGACAGGGAAAAACGGAGAGAGAGGGTGAAAGATGGGGAGAATTCAAGGGAACACGAAAAGGAAAAAGTCAAGGAGCAGGAAAAACCAGAGAAAAAGGTAAGAACTTTCACGGGACTGGCCGCCTTTGGACCTCAGCTCTGGAGGAGGGAGGTGGTGAAGCTGTACACGGTGCAGCGTCTGTGAAGTCAGCTTTTCTGCCTCTGCTCTGGGGCACAGTGCAGGAGTCCACGTGAACTTGCTGAACACCTGGTCCTACGTTGGGCATGCTTGAAATGGTGGAGTTCTCAGGCTCCCTGAGGCTGGGTCTTGAGCCAGGTTAGTCTGATGTGCATCATAGCCCACAGCATTGTCACGGTGTTAAGTGTGTGTCTAGGATCCATGGGCCTTCATCTCTGTTTCATCGCTGACTTAAAGTTAGAAGACCTGAGCCCTGCTGGTTCTAGCTCCAGTGCTGATTGTCATGATGGGCAAGTCACAGAATGTCCGGGAGCTTGAGGAAGGTCTTGGTCTAAGTCATCTCTAAAGGTCCTTCCACCTCAGAATATCCGAAGAGGTCTACACTGCCTTTGGTGGCAAAGGTTTCGGTGTTATTTTTTGTCTTTTGTAGACTTCAGTAAGAAATTAAGAACTTATGAAAACAGGTACTTGACCTTGAGCTATAAGGAAGATTTTTTTTTAAGGCAGCAGATACATAACAGTAAGGTATCATTTAACTGGAGGTCTTGGGGATTGAGGTCATTTGACTTAATAATCTAGCTCAAATGTGGTTAAACAGAAAATAGAAGAGATAAAAAAAGTCTATGTTGACTTCTTAACAGAGTACGATGCAAAGGACATTATGGATTTTGGTGTTTCATATCTTGTCTCAAGCTTATCTTTCAGAATACTAGTCCTTCCGGTAGGGCTGTGATTTAATTATTGAGATAGAACTGGAGGAGAATTTTGAGGTCACCTCGGCCAATCATTTCATTTCATAGACTGCCCGAGCTCACGTAGGAAGTTGGGCCAGAATCACCACAGAACCTAAATGTTCTGGTCCCCTGGCCCTGTGCTGCTTACACCGTTCTGTCCTATAGCAGCTCCTGTGTACTTATCAGAGGCAGAAGGGCTTTGCTGAATTAATACTAACTGTGGGACACAACCTGGGTTGATTTATTTCTTTATTTTAGTCCTCAGTAATGCTTTTATCCTTTTTCCCCCTTTGTGTGATTTTCCTTTTTCCTTCTAAAATTGGAGTGGTTTTTTTTTAAATTTTAGGGTAATTATTAGTTAAATTCCTGTTTATTAAGGTTTCACTGTATACCCAAGAGACCAGGAATTTTACTTTAAAATATTTCCTTTTATATGTCCCTTGAAAAAAGATCCTAGTGTTATGTTTTATAAAAACCTGAGGTCCATTATGACTTTTAGAATTGATAATTACTTTCACATGTTCCTCATCCTTTAACCTCTCCTTAGGAGGTTGCCTCACATATGGCTAAAAAGTTCTTGCACTGTAATGGATGGCATTTTTCAGAATGTAGTCAGTGAAAAGAGACATTTTTCTTCAGCCCTTTGAAGTAGCCATTCAGATGCCATCGAGCCGAGATGAAGGCCTTCTGGAGTTCCTTTAAAGTACTGACTCCGCGTAGCCAAAAGGTTCCCTGCATCTTTGTAAACTAAACTTGGGCCAGCTGGAGCTAGAATATGCTGCCTGCATTAGCCATTTCAGTTGTGAACAGTTGTTTAGAAGAAGTTTTTGGGGAAGGCTAGAAGCAAGGTCAATTCTCATTGGCGCAGCTCACTGGCCATTTAGGGAATGAGTCATGTGATGTGTGGGGCATTTTTAAGGGAAGGTTAGTGAGGGTTAAATTTTATGCTGTGTGCCTCCTTGGCGTTCGCTCAGGCTTGCCCGTTACTGCTGTTGGCACTCAGAAGCCCACAGAGGATGTTTTCCTGAGGTAGGGATGTACATCATAGGACCTTCAGGTTCACAATAGCCTGTGAGGTTGGTAGTGGGTGTGCTGCCTTCTCTGGGCCGCAGACAACTGAAGCGACTTTCCCCAGAGAAGCATGAGAAAAGATTTCAAGTGATACAAAGTGAAATAAACAGAACAGCCTCTTCAAGCTCTTGTTTCTGATTTCATTGCTTTCTCCAGCATATCCACAAAACTGGACCGTTTACTGGACTGCAAATTCAGAATTTAAAAATGATCTAATTCCAGGTCATTGCCAGCAGTCAAGAGGTTATTCATTTACAGTTCCTAACTGAGTCTAACGAAATGTCTTCAGTCCATAGAGGGTGTTAAAAATGAAGAGTCTGCAGATGTGGTAGCTCTAAGTGTGAATGCTACTTTGGTTTAGAAATATTTGAATCCATTAAGAAATGTTTTGGTCAAATTAAACCGAATAAATCAACACATTTAATTAAATGTGATTGAATGAAATTTTAAAATAAAATTTTATTGACATCTTTTGTTTTTACATCATTCATATATACATATATATATATATATATATAGATATAGATATAGATATATAGATATATATTTATATCTCCTCCTGGAGATCATTCTTCATGATAAAGAAGGATAAAGAAGGCTGGGGGGGGGGACGTGGAGAATAGTTCAGCAAAACTAAACCAATATGTCCAAAAACTCTGATAAGTATATTCAGCATTCCATAGCCATAGAGTTACACACCTGCAAAGACCAGAGGGAAATTCTTGCTCATATCTCGGTGAGGGGTGTGGTGGCTGGGCAAGGTTAGTCATTATAATTTACAATTTCACAGCATTTGGTTTCCAGTTGTTTTGTTGTTCTTCCCTTTAACCTCATTGCAATCATGGTGTGTGCTATTCTATTTATTTCACTTTGCATCAGTTCATATCTCTTCTCATGCCTCTTTGTATTAATCATATTTGTCATTTCTTATAGCATAGCACTAATCCATTATATTCATGTACCACAATTTGTTTAGCCATTACTCAGTTGATGGGCATCGACTTTGCGTCCAGTTCTTTGTGACCACTCAAAGTGCTGTTCTGAATTTGGGATGTACTCTTTTTTTGGTCTGTGACTTCCTTGGGGTACATACCTAACAGTGGGATCTCGGGGTCAGTGAGTGCAAGCATGGTAGTCACTCTCTTTGCCTCATTGCACTTGCTTTCCAGAACAGTTAGACTGAGGAAATATTTCTGAATAACTGCAGATAAAGGACCCCTGTTCACTTGTGAGAAGTTCAGGAAGGAAAGTGTTGGGGTTTTTAAGCCATCTCTGTTAAATGTTTTGCTGCCTTCAAACAAATCTGGGGACTCTCTTGGCCAGCCTTGATGATAAAAAGGAAACAGTGATTTTTTTAACGTACTTCAGCCACCATTCACCCGAGACAGTGGCTTTACGCAAGCCACTTGGCTGGTTCCTTGATTTCCTTGCCTGTCCCAGGTTTTTTTGTGATGGTTAAATGAAATGTCTTTTATCTTCCAACTTATGAAGAATTCTTTACTCACATTTCAGGGAAAGACATAACTTTGCCAGGTTTAACTTATCTGATCAAAACATTGCTTAATGGATTAAAATGCTTCTAATCTATGTGAGAGCACTCTGAAGTGTTCTCATGCACAATCCAGCTGCTAGGTATGTACCCCAAGGAAGTCACAGACAAAAAGTGTATGCCCATTGCTGCAGCAGTTCATGTTAGAAATCTTTTAAAGGTTGTGTTAAGCTGTTTCCTACAGTGCATAGTATTTATGAGGGAAACTGACTGCCCTGTTGGGTTTTTGAGACTCTGCTGTTAGTGTTTAAAATAACAACAAACCCAGACCTTAACACTGTGTGATCTCACTCACTGGGGAAATGATTATCTTACTAAGCATGGAAGTTATGTCAAATGTTTTGATGTCTTCTTAGATGTTATGTTTCTTAAATATTCTAAGGTAGAGAAAAAAAGTGTTTTAATCATTTTGTAGGCTGCAAGCACAGTGGAGAACTTGTCAAAAAAATTCTCAGAGTCGTCTATGAAAGATACCAGAGTGGAAATGGACAAAGAGGTGAGTGTGGCAGAATGAACCTACTCACTTCAATAGATTAGCTAAAACGCTGACTTGCTGCAAATGTAGTGGGGGACATTATGGGAAGATGGCCTTTGTTAACACAGAGTGAAATTGTCTGCTCATGCACATAGGTGCATGTGTACACGTGTGTGTGTATGTGTGTGTGTGTGTGTGTGTGAGAGACAGAGACAGAGAGAAACAGAGACAGAGACAGAGGGAGGGAGAGAGAGAGAGGAGAGAACATGTGCACACACCCACAGTTGAGGTCATGAAGCAAAGGAGAAATAAAAGGTTTCTCAGGGAAACTTAAACACTCAGATGTCATAAGCTTTGACTCTTAATTCTTTTGCCAAGATTTATTACCTTTGTTAAATGCTCAGGATCACAGAGATTTTCCTCGACAGCAGAGCTTGAATTTGATGTCATTCGGATTTGAACCTACGGGTTGTTGACTGGTCAAGAGGACATTAATGTATCGTCCTTAATTTATGCAAATAAATGGCTTCCATTCTGAACAGACCTTGTTCCAGACTTGGGCCCGGGCCATCTAGTGTTTCAGTGGGAGCCACACTAATGCTCTGACTCTTCCTCTGCTCACACTCACATGCTGTGCCCCCGAGGCCTCCATATGCTCAGGTTACATGGCCCCAAACAGGTTCTCTGTCCTCTTCACTGCAGAAGCTTTCTCTAAGCCTTTTATTCCCACCTCTCTTTCCCCATAATCCCATTCCTTCACCTCGTGCTTTACTGAGAAGATACTCATCTTTTGCCAAGAGCTCCTTCATCCCTTCTCTGTATCAAAGCTTTTCATTTAATTGTCCAGTTTCTCTTCCTTCACTTCAGTCTCTATTGAAGAGGTGGTCTGTCTGCTCCCCAAAGCCAGCCCTTCTGTGACCTCATCAGTACCCCCACATCCCTCTCCCTCCCTGACTTCTTGTGTCCGCCACTCATATCCTCCTGAGGCCCTATTTGATGTGGATGCCCTTGGAGGCTCTCTCCAGAGCTCTCTTGTCTTCTCTTCATGACTCGGCTGTCATTTCTGTGCAGATGACTCTCAGATCTTATTATTCAGCCTAGTCTCTCTTTTCCTAACTCCAGTCCCACATCTCTAGGTGCCTGTTGGACATTTCCAATGGATATCTATCCTACAGGCATCCCAAACTCAATATGTCCACAGTAGAGTTAATCCCCACCCCACCAGCCCCATACTCAACCCCATTCCTCTTTCAAACTGTACACTTTCTGTTGAGGACATCATGGTCCTTCCAGTTAACCAGCTTGGCAAACTCAGGACAATTCTCAACCCTCCCTCTTCCATACTCCACAAATTGAATTAGTTGCCAATTGTGTTTGGTTTCAACTCCACAGTTTTGTTAGTAACTGTCCCATTCTGTCTACTCACACAACCACCATCTTAGTCCAGACCCTTGTCACTTTTACTGGACTACCGAAATAATCGTCTTTTCTCCTCCATAAAACTCCCAGGATGACTTTGCTGAGCCACAAGTCTAACTATGTCACTTCCATCCCCACATTCCTCAGCACACACTCAGTAAATTCTACTTGATCCCCTTTGCCTCTAGGATCAAATAATAACAGTGTGTCCCAAAAGTCTGAGTGGATGTTACCACTATTAAAGCTTGAAACTACCCTAAGACTTTTGGGACTTCACGTATGAATTCTTCCATTTGGCATTTAAACTTCTTTATAATCTTGTACCAAGCTACCTTTCCAGCCTGATTTCATGTGACTTTGTTTTCTGCATACCTGTGTTCCACCCAGAGATACCTGCTCGATGGACCTGCAGTGTAGCAGTCTTTTTCCTACTTCAAGGCCGTTCCTATTCCCTGAAATTCTCCATCTTCACCATCACCTCTTGGAATCCCCAGATTGCTTGAAGTCTCAGCCCTAGCGCTATCTCCAGAAGAGTTCTTTCCAGATTTTCCCAGTTGTGCTCCCCTCCTCCCAATTACTTTGCATTTATCTTGTGTTTGTACATGTTGTTTCTTATATTAGAATGTAGCTTCTTGAGATCAGGGACTGGTTCCCTCTTTTGTCTTTGTAGCCCTAGCATCTAGCAAAGTAGCTGACAGATAGTAGGTATTTAATAAATGCTGGTTGATTTGAATTGAATCGAATCAGAACCTTTCCATAGCTTGGTAGATAGCACCCCCCCCCCCCCCCCCGAGGCTAGCCTCCTGTACTTAGCCAGGCTGGTTCTCAGACAACAGAAGTGCTGTCCATCACTGACCATTACTCAGAACTTTTCCCGCTTGATGGGAGGTGAATGAGCTTGTGCCCCTCTGCCATGCTTCCAGAAGCCAGGGTCACCTCTGTGCTATGACAACATAGGAGGACTTCACTGGACTGATGTTAGTACTTTCTTTTAAACAGTAGATTAATTTGTCTAAGGAATATTGGAGTAAGGTCGTTGATATCTGTAGTGGAATTTCTACTTTGGCAGGGGTCACACCTCACAGTTTTGTTGAAATTAAATGTGCTTTTTGGGGATTTGTCCCTTACTTACATGCATGTTAATATCCGTAAGTATTAGATTTAGCCTTTTAAGAATTCTGTTGAGTAGAATTTATGTACTAAAGAAATATACAAGTATGCTCAGTAATTTATCTCAGTTTTCTTTATCTTTTCATTATCTTATAGATAACTTAATTCAGATCCATAAGTTATTTTAGGTTAGTGCTTTTGGAGGGAAGGTAGACTAAATTTGTTAAATTCCTCTGGTTTCTTCTCATATGAGTCTTGGTAATTTGGAAATTTATTAATTCTCTCTGCCCTTGGATATTTTACTTGAGACCTTTTTCCTTCCTTGGTGTGAGTTCAAATATACCCATAATAACAATCTGTCATTTTTAGTATCACTGGCCAGGCTTTCTCTTTTGTAGAAAAAGTCACCAGTACAAAAAGTCATCATTTTAACGTTGGTATTCTCCCAGGGATGCTGTAAGATTGCTAATCATGAATACTGCATTCTTCAGAGAATCGAGGGCATTGGAGAGACCCAGCTGGAGTAGGGTGTAGCATAGTTTGTGCAATAATGAATGATTTTTGTGTAAGAAATGGTGCAAGGTAAGGGAAATGAGGAAATGTACTCATAAAAGGAAATGTACAAATATGTGATAGGAGCAGGAGGTGGCAGAGGGTGTCCCAGTGGGCCACTGGCACCCACAAAAAGGCCTTGAGTGAGTCCTCTCATGCCTTGGATGTATTGGTAGTAGAGGACGCATGGGAGGACAAGGACAGGAATCACCTGGTGCTGGATGGAGTGCTCTGTCAATGGATCCTAGAGCCATTGTGATAGGATGTGTTTTGGGTGGTTGATCTTTTTCAAACTGTGGGTTTTTAGAGGACCCGTTTGCCTTCTTAAACACAAAGAACTGTGGTACCAAATGCATTCAATAGATTTTGCTGTTACCTCATTCTCAATAAAATCCTTTATTATAATTGAGGATTTTGGAAAACAACCTTGTTCTCTGTATGTGCTAGCACAATGCGGATGACCAGATGTTTGTATCATGGTAGACACTGATTCATGAGAAATAGATAGGGGAAAAATCCCATTATCAGTGGGATTCTAGTAGTAGGTGTGTATCTGGCAGCCCAGATACACACAGAGCTTGTCATGGATGGCAGATCTAGGTAGTGAGGGTAGTGTTATCCAGATTTTACAGATAAAGAGACTGAGGCCTGGAGAGATGAATTGGCTTGCCCACATAGTGCAGCATGTTAGTAGCATAGTGTCAGGGGGTCAGGGGAAGCATCCAAGATCTCTGGTGTCATTGGTGCCTTCTGACTGGCTTGACACTGCTTTGAAAATTTGATTTGGGAATAGATTAAGCTCAGAGTTGAATCTAGGCCTGGCATCAGATTTAGCAGCTGGCCACTTTAGCCACAGTCCATCAGCACGAATTTATTGAGTGCCTACTATGTGCCAGGCGTATAGATGGTGTAAGTGCAAAGTAACTGGAGTCACGGCCCAGGTAGGGAGGCTGGGGAAGGCCTCCTGTACTAGCTGGGATTGGAGCCGCACTTGGAGGGAGGCCATTTCAGGAATGGGGCTTAATTGTCATTTATAATATTGTTGTCATCAAGATGGAAAAAAGGCATTTTCAGCCCTCGAGAAAGAAGTGGGAAGCATTTTCCAGATTATACCAAAGTCCAAAGGAAGGCAAAGAACATTCTAGAGACCGGAGAGTGCTGGAATTGACACTGTCCCCTCCTTTCTTGGTGATATCACCAGAGATCGGAGAATCCAGTCCGCCTCCTTCTTGGGATCTGTCTCTCTCCCTCGAACATGTGCTACTCTTTGTGGATTCTGTTTCCAAGTGGGTAGACTGCTTTATGTATGGGACATTTTTCTAAAGCTTTTTTCTTTAAACAGGCAGAAAGTTCAAATAACTGTGTGTGACGACAAAATAAGATTTTGATTTTAAGGAATGTCGTTAACTGAAAAGCTCTCAGATCTGATTTCTTAACATGCCTCTTTATCATTATTTTTATTATTATTATCATTATCATCATCATCATCATCATCAGAAACCTGCAATGTTTTCAGATTCTTAAATATACCACAGGCCTAACCCAGTAACTTGCATATAGCAGACACTCGGTCGGTTCAAATCCACTTAACAAATATTTATTAACTCAGTTGCCAGTATTTGATGCCTAACAGAAAACAGTGGGTTGTATGTGGTTTTAGCCAGGCGAGGTGGGAAAAGTCATTTCCTATGATTTCATTGGGTTGAGTCTCAATGATAGGTTTTGATAAGATGATAGGGTATAGTCTGAACTGGGAGGCTTTGAGCAAAGGCTGGTTAATCCATTGCTTAAGTTATAGAGGGAATTCTCATTCAGCCACAGGATAGACTTGGTGGCATCAGAGTTCCTGCCAAGTCTGTGATGCATGTCCATCGGCTGCATAGCACAATGGCTCCCTGGTTATTCAGACCAGCCACGGAGAAATCATAAGAAATACTGTT